CCCTTCGGGTCTTTTCTGGTGTATGTGGAACATTGGAATGCATATGTGAGGAGCTGTTTCCAAGGCGGCTGGCCTGCGTGCAATCTCTGTGAAATAAAGGCACGTTGCGCTGGGCATCGGTACTGGTGGTCTTGAGAAGAGCAAAGCTTTTCACAAAGGTGAGCAAACAGCCGCAGCGAGGTGACCATACGTCCTCTTTCCGACGGGTGGCCCTTACAGCCCCTTTAGATAGTTTAACCTGAGTGAATGGGGCGTTCAGCCTGGTCCCAAGGGCATGGCGCTCACGGAGGTTTCCTGGCCGTGCTGTGGTACCTGCTGGCCACCTAGCTTGCTGAGGTGGTCTCGATGGTTCTTACTGGTTTGTCGGCAAGACGTGGACACGCTTTGTTTTGATTCGTCCACGACGTGTGCAGAGGGAGTAGAATTTTGCTGATCTTTTCAGACTCTGCTGGGGGAACCCATGGCTTTGTCATATTTGACTAGGGAGAGCAATAAACCGAGCCCTTTGAGGTAACTGTTCCGGGTGTGTTACTGTAGACCCTATAAACTGCCTCCTGACTATGGCAGCACGGTGACGATTGACGGCGCCGAGTATACGAAGCCGCAGCAGACTGAGTGCCTGTTGTGGCCGGGACCCCGCGGATGGCAGGGCTGCATGGTGGCTGGCCGCTCCCTTCCCGTCCTGGGTCTACAGGCAGCCACACGCGGGCCGTGGAGATCTTGGTTTTCTCACGGGCGCAGGCCCAGTCCCCAGTCAGGGTGATACCAGACCTGGTTCTTGTGCCTGTCTTTAATATTCAGATGGAGAAAATCATTTAAATACTTCCTCGGGCTTGTCTCTGAATATTGTAGCACGATTACCCAACATCTGTCTGGCCCTTCTTTGTCTTGAGTGCGAGGACTCTTCTGAAGGGTCATGTCAGCATTTCTGTGATCGCCCTGCCAGCCATTGTTTATGTAAAACCTCAGCCGTGCGGTAGAAACGGGCTGAGCCTGGGTTTGGAGCCTCACGTGTGGGGTGCCGTGTGGCCTTGGGCATGGCCTAGCCTGGTGCCCAACTGCTCCCGTAGGAGGCGCCTCCCCTTAGGGGAGCTGTGCAGCATGGTGAGGGGCTTGCGGACCCACAGCTACATGGCTACGTACCCGGGAGGCGTACGTACTATGTCCTGGACGGGACCGAAGGTACTTCACAGCCCTAACCTTGCTACTCATACTGTGTGTCAAAAACTATCAGTAAAGCGTCTGAGATCAGATGCAGTGAAATTGAAGTCGACTGTATTGTGACATACGATGTCTGTTGCATTGTCATTTCATGTTAGATGACAAAGGAGAGAAGACTCTCTGTGGATGAGAAGTACTGCCCTGTGAGTGGCACCCACACACACACATGCACAGGTGCACACACATGCTCTCACAGTGCACACTCAAGCACATGTGCACGTGCACACATGCTCACCCATGCACACGTGCACACTCACACATGCGTACACACGTGTGCACACATACGTACATGCTTACACACATACACCTCCTTTCCCCTGAATGACTCAGAGGTTCAGTTCAGACTCTGTCCCACGTGCCCTGTACAGACAGGGCCATCTGTGTCCCATCACCACGGTCACTGGCGGTGACCCTGCATCACCACTGCGGCGGTCGGACCCGTGGCTCCTGCAGTCGGCACAGGACTTTGCTCCGCATCCCCACATGCACCTGCGTGCTTTTTCACTCCCAGTGTTTCCTGCCTTCTTTAGTGGCATGTAGGGGAGGGCAGGGCTTCCGTTTTTCATCTGTTCCTTGCCCAGTCCCTTATTCATACTGCTGTGGACTCGTGTTATCGCCATCTTAGTGCATTGCAGTCTGTTCCTCTTATTAGTTATTTGGGTACTGAAAGTGCCCCAGACTTGGCAAGTGGGCGCTCCTTCAGGCTTTTCTGTGTTTCCGTGATGTGTCCGCTGATTTGGAGTCCTTGGGCACAGGTCTGTGTTCTTAAGGCCCCTGTTCCCAACCCCCACCCCACCCCCACCCCGTTACCTCCTCCTGGAGCCGCAGCTCTTGGGTAGAAGTGACCACAGGCCCCGAGGCTCGTGCTTGCTGTGCTTGTAGCTGCGGAGCTGGCCTTGCCCCTTGCCTGCTCCAGCCCTTCCCCTACTACGTTCCCTCTTCCCGTCTTAGTTTGTCTCTAAAGCTGGAGTCCCCTCTGCAGCCTGCTGTCGGCTAAGGCTCTGCTTGCCTCCGGCCGGCAGCACAACCAGCAGGGCCTGCTGTGTTCGCTGGCAGTGCTGTTTGGTTCTGTGTTGCCAGGACAGGCTTTTGCGGTTGGGTCGGGCCCCACGCTCCGTCTTTATCCCTGTCCTGGGTCGGTATTGGTTGTGCAGGTCACTGGCCCTTTGGAAAAGGTGATGAAGACCATATTCCCCATCTCTAGCTCACAGAGACCTCCTGATTCGGGAGCTTTCGGCTCCTGCCCTGGTTGAGTCTTTGGCCTTCCGTTCATAGCCCAGCTGCGGTGTTCCCGTCCCCCACGCAGCAGGTGCTGACTGCACCCGGGGTGCTCCTGAGGGTCCACCCGGCAAGCAGCCATGAGGAAAGCAGACACGCAGTGGGGGTAGAGGCTGACCTCTCCCAGCCACCCTTCCTCACCTAGTCCTCTGGGACAGGCCCCGTCCATTCTGCTGCCACATACCACACACTGGGCACTGCTGACAGTTGGGGACTGTCAGAACAGAAGGGTCCCGTCTGTGGGACCCAGAGTTTGCATGCTGGTGGGGCAGAGGCACAGGCTGGATGGTGTGTCCACTGGAGGTGCCACCACAGGGTTACTGAGGCAGGGTCCAGGAGAGGCTATCTGGTAAGATGATGCTGGCCTGTCCAGGATGTGAGGAGACACGAGGGGCAGAGGAGCCGGGCCCTGTGGCTTCGCTGCTCGTGCTGAAGACTGGCTTCTCCTTGCTGAGGTGGGAAGCCTGGGCAGGGAAGCCTCCAGGGCTGACCCTGTAAGGAAGCGCTCCCCACTGCCTGGGAGGAAGGTTCGGAGGCCCTGGACTCTTCCTATGTGCCTGACACCAAATTCTAGCTTCATATGGCAGAAGTGGTGAGAGGGATTGCAGAAGGGGCAGCCAGTGTTGGCATTACCTGGAGGGTCCGTGAGGAGCGGGAGCTGGCCAGTGCCGGCGGACGATAGGCCTTTCATCCAGGCTTCTGGATGCTGCGGCACAGAGCCATTGGGAGGGGCTGGGGGAAGGCCTCTGCGACCCTCCCCCCCAGCTCTCGACCTGGCCAGCTGCCCCTGTCCCTGTTTATTCACTTTGCAGCACCCCTCTGAAGCTAACCTGTGTGTGTGTTTCTCCTTCCCCAACTGGAACGGGTCTGTGACGTTCCCGAGATGGACCACAGCGGCCTCTGTCATGCGTTGTCTGTTGCTCATAGGCTCTGACGGTGGAGACACTGCTGGGGTTGGCTTGGCCTGAGCCCCGAGTGCTAGCTGAGGCCAGGTGCTCACTGATCTTGCCTGACCTCGGCCCATGCAGAATGGCTGACCTCTTCTACTCTGGAGGACGGTGGAACTGACAGGACCCCCAACCCTGTGTGTGTGTGTGTGTGTGTGTGTGTGTGTGTGTGTGTGTGTGTGTGTGTGTGTGTGTGTGTGTGTGTGTGTGTGTGTGTGTGTGTGTGTGTGTGTGTGTGTGCACGTGCCTCAAAAGCCTGGTTCTGGGCCGGCCAGGTGGCTCAGTTAGTTAGAGCATGAGCTCTGAGCAACAGGGTTGCTGGTTCGACTCCCGCATGGGATGGTGGGCTGCACATGCCCCCCACCCCCCACCCCAAATTAGCCAAACTAGATTGAAAGCGGCGCCTGGACTTGGAGCTGAGCTGTGCCCTCCACAACTAAGATTGAAGGACAACTTAACTTGGAGCTGATGGGTCCTGGAAAAACACAATGTTCCCCTTCCCCAATTCCCCAACACTGTTCCCTTTTCCAATTCCCCAATAAAATCTTAAAAAAAAAAAAAAAAAAAGCCTGGTCCTCCCAGGTATCCTGAAAGAATATCAGGGTCCCCGGGGTCCTGTGCTTGAGGGCCACACGTGGAGCCCCAGGGAACCTGGAATTGGCGAGAGGAGGCTGGGCTGTACTTGCATCCCTTTGGCCTGTGTGTGGGCAGGGAAGTCAGCTCCATTCAGGAAGGCCACTGGTGGGAGCCTTCTGGACACACTGAGGAAGGAGGCGTGGCCTTGAGGCGGCCGGTGGTCCAGGTTGACAGGGCGGGGCCCCCATGGAGCCCACTTGGTGCTGAGGGAAGCCAGCAGGGAGGCCGGGGTTCAGTAGGGACATTCTGAGGGCACTCGGTTCTGTCTTTTGGAGGAAACCTTCCAGAAGTGATACAGCGTTTCGGGAGTTTGTCGCACACTCTGTGGGGCAGGGCACTTGCTGACCCCTACTCCCTGTCCTCCGTGGGCTCAGCGGCTGCCGCGACACCTGCAGACATACGGCTAAGAGTGCTGTGATTCTGTTCACTTTCCACTGAGACTCTGACCTTCCCAAAGGCAAGAATTTTGTCTTAAAACAGTTGCAGAGGCTTGTACAATTCACGCCTCCACATAGCAGAACAAATGTTAATGATGGGGGATTTCGTGGAATTTTCTTCATGATCCGTTTTGGTGACTTTTGGCAGGTCATTGGGCATTTGGGATCCTTGCGGGGGGGCGGGGGGCGTTATGTCAGCAGCAGGATGCCTGCAGACAGTTTATGGTGTCCCTGTCACTGCCAGGGGAGCTGTGCAGGCACATGCCTGCACATTCTCGTTACAGTGCCATCTCCAAAGCACAGCGAGTGTGGACGCTGCCGCGGTGGTCCCAGTGCCATCCCACCTGGGGGCGCCAGCTCTCCACCTACAGCGAATCACCTGTGCTTCTGACTCACACGTGACCCCATTCGGAAAAGTCACGCTGCGAAGGCCCAGGCCGCCAGTGGGGAACAGAGCCTCACAGCTGTTTCTCTTCAGCAGGCAGTCCCAGTGAAGGGGGAGACGAAGCAGGACCGCTGCCTGAAAACTGAGCTGCTGCGAGAGGAAGGTAAGGGCTCTGGCCACTCCGGGCTGCAAGTGACCAGAGGACCTGCCACTCGGCCTCGCGTCTTCTCACCTGCCCCAGCTCCCGCTTCTCTGCTTTTTCAAAACTGGGTTTAGTCTGTAGTTTCTCATCTCCCCTTCCTAGACAGACACACAGGCACACACACAAGATGGCGAGAAAGAAAAAGCTTCTCCAAGAGGGAAAAGCAGGCACTTCAGGTGCACCCAGCAAACTAAAAGTGACACACAGGTCACACGGATGTCAATGGCCGCTTCATTCACAGCACTGAGAGCTGAAACCACTCAGGTGTGCCTCACCCGCTCAGACTGGCATGCAGGTGGCGGGCGGAGATCTGTGGGCAGAGGACAGCGTGGCCCGTGGTACTTGTGAACGGAGCTACAGCCACAGGCCCAGTTGTGTGACATCCTGGACAACGGGAAACTGGACCATGGGAACATGCCCTCCCAACGCCCACAAGGCCTTTTCTTGGGCAGTTGGTTCTGACTGACGCCAGGTACCGTCTTCCCCACACTGGCCCTGGCCGAGGCCTGGTCCCTCCTTCCCGCCGGCTGCATTCCTACCAGCCTCTACCTCCTGCCAGTGTTTATGGTTACTCACCCTTCAGTGGGTGCGAAGTGGCACCTCGTATTCAGTTTCATCTCCCTGGTGGCTAGTGACATTGAGCATCTTTTCGTCCTTATTGGCCGTGTGTGTGTCTTCTTTGGAGAGATGTCAATTCAGATCCTTTGCCTGTCTTTAAAATTGATTATTGATTTTTGTTGTTGAATTGTCAGAGTTCTTTATATATTAGAGATACAAGATTCTTACCAGATACGTGATTTGCAAATATTTCCTTTCATCCTGTGGCTTGTCTTTTCACTTTCTTGATGGTGTTCTGTGAAGCACAAAAGTTTTTAATTTTGATGAAGTGCAGTTTATCTGATTTTTCTTAGGTTCTTGTGCATTTGGTGTAATAGCTCAGAAACTCTTGCTTATAGAAACTCACAAAGATTTATGCCTGTGCTTTCTTCTTAGAGTTTTATACTCTTACCTCTTACAGTTAGGTCTTTGATCCATTTTGAGTTAATTTTTATATATGGAGTACGGTGGAGTCCAGCTTGATTCTTCTGCAAGTGGATCCCCAGTTCTCTCAGCACCGTTGGTTGAAAAGACCATTCTCTTCTCATTGAACTGTCCTTGCACCGTTGAAGGTCAGTTGTCTGAGTGCGAGGATCTGGCTGGGACTTTTCAGTTCCGTTCCACAGGTGACGTGTCGTCTTTCTTTGTGCTGGACCCGCACTCTCTTCTGACTGCTGCTTTGCAGTGGGGGACGTTTGCAACCTCCCGCTTTAGTTTCTGTTCAATCTTGCCCAGACTGGGTCCCTTGACTTCCCATGTGAGTTTCAGGATCAGCTTCTCAGTTTCTGCAAGTGAGCCAGCTGGAATTTTCAGGAGGACTGTTGAATCTGGAGATCAGTTTGGGGGTGTTGCCATCTGAACAGAGCAGTGTCTTACAGTCTGTGAACATGGGGTGCTTTCTGTTTGTTTACGTCTTTAATTTCTCTCTATAATTGTCAGTGCACGAGTTTTCGACTTTTTTTTGTTAAATGTATTCCTAAGTATAACATTTTTGATGCTATTTTAAACGGAATTATTTTCTTTCATTTTGCTCATTGAAACTGTATAGAAATACAGTTTGTTTTTGTTTGTTGATCTCATATCTTGCAACCTTGCTGAACTTGCTTTTAATAGCTCTTTGGACTTCCTTAGAAATTTCTACATACTATAAGGTCATGTCATCTACAAGTACTTAACCCTCTGTCGGGCCCAACTGATTTCACAGATTCATTGCACACAAAGATGCTGCTATGAAATAAGTCTTTACTGTACTAAGTCACAAACACGACTGGTGATAGGTTACGGTAGCGAGGGAAGATACAGAAGCGATGAGTCACAATACTTAACACATTGTGGACCGGTGACGCAGATTTGTGTCTATACATTACAGCTGTGCAAGACTGATGACGCAAATCTGCGTTTTAACCACGTGCTTGGTTTCCACGCACTATACACTTAACTATGCAACACATGGAGCCTTTCTTCGAATGGTCCTGCTGACGAATGTTTATAGAAACGTGACCTCACTCCGAGTTAATGATCTGTGATAAATATAGAGAACAAACAGCTCTGTATTTTCCTCTTGCTCTGCTCTGCATTTAGTCAGCATTCAGATTTCAATCACTTTACACTCATGACGGAAAGACGTAGTTCTTACAGGAAAAAATATCTTACAGAAGATGAAATTTCAGTGGAATTGTTGGCGGACACATTATCTGATGTTCCTGAGAACGCTGATAGTGACGGTGAAAATGACAGTGACTCTTCTGTTGTTGGAAATAGGCAAAACAAAATTGTGCATCCTTTACCGAGTTACAGTGACAGTGAACAAAGCGCAAACGAAAGTGATGATGATGATGACACACTAGATTTGGCGGTTTCCACAAGGGTAAAAACAGATAAAACACCAAATATAGGGCCATTTACCGGAAACCCAGGGGTGAAACAAATTCCTTCTGACACGACGAATGTATCGCAAGTAACAGGACTCTTTCTTGGAGACAGATTCTTTGATATGTTGTGTGAGGAAACGAATCTATATTGCTCACAAAATCAGGAAAAGTATGTTACTGGTTCTAAGGGGTTGAAATGGTCAGATGTCACTGTAGCAGAAATGAAAAATGTTTTTTCAATAATTATTCTAATGGGGCAAATCAGGAAAGATAAACTAAAGGATTATTGGTCTATGGATCCATTTTTAGATACTCCTATTTTCAGGAAACTTATGAGCCATAATAGATTCGAACAAATTTGGTGGTGGTTACATTTCAACAATGAAATTCTGCAACAATCAACTAACAGACTTTTCAAAATTCAACCCTTATTGGATTTTTTCCTTGAAAGATTTCAGACTATTTATAAGCCAAATCAACAACTTTCCTTAGATGAAGCAATGATTCCTTGGAGGG